GCAATTAACTGCCTCTGAAAACCCCCCAGAGAGTCAGCCATGGGTTGGTTCCAACTCGATGGTACACCACAACAAGAAGACACACAGCTTTTGAACATTTATTCCAAAAGAAGTATGTTGCTCTCATTCGTACAGGGTGACTGTCTACGAATCTAAAAACTCTAAGAAGCCTGTATTCTTTGACACTGGAAGTTTCTGGCAAAAGGGGGCATATGGAGAAGTATTATACAAACATTGCATAATATTTACACATAATATAGAATAAAGATTTTTATTCACACCTTAAAATTATGTTAAAAAATTAAAAGGATACACAAAGGAAAAAATTGAACTTTTATAGATGTACACTTCATGACTTAGATCACGATACCAGAACTTGAAATAAAAGGTGTATGCTCACTCTTTAAATCTGTTGTGTGTGTGAGAGAGAGAGAGTGTGTACACACATATGTGCACATGTGTGAGTGTGCACGCACCTGAATGCAGATACATTTTAGATTCACACATTTAAAGTGAAATCACATTTTATACAAAATCAGTGAATCCCAAGGTATATTAACCAAAATCAGCATATTCCAATGTAAATCATTATATAAAATATTGTAACAGCCATAACAGCACCTACTTACTGACACTTACTGTATGAAAATTTATCATTTCTTGAAGACTGTCAGAAAACTTGGTCAAACTTGTCTACAAGGAAAAAACGAAAAGAAAACCAAGTCATTAATAGCTACTAAAATGGGCCACAAAAATGTCACTTCAGCATTTCTGACAGATCAAGTTACTCTTTAAATAATAACATTTATCTCCAGTGACAATCTCACTCCCTCACTGAGCATGGTCTGCAGAGAAGGAAAGTCATTACATGTTATATCAAGTCCCAGAAAAACTAAAGAATTAGCACTGCCATATCATAAGTAGAATGATAACAAATATGAATAGCATAGATAAGCCTAAAGGTAAAACTGTTTGGATCTATTAAAACTGTGTTTGTTTAAATAACTAGAATCAAATCATTATCAAACCACTTTCATTTCTTCACCAGTTCTTATTCCTCACAAGAGATACATCCTACGAGAGCACAGAACAACACAAGATCTAAGACAACCAGGCCAAAGTGGTGGACCATAAATTTCCTGCAAAATCCTGAGTTAGATAAGTTCTTGAGTTGATGCTGTACTTGTCCCAACAAGTAGCTTCTAGTGGGCATGACCCTGCTGTCCCAGCTCAAGTCCTCTGGTAGATGCTGCTGCTCATATAACAGCAAGTAAACATGGTCAAATGATTAACCACAGGAACCTGAGACAGGAGAGATGCTAGATACTCACAAGGCCAATCAGTCATCAACTTCTAATGTTCGAAAACAGGACTGTGCAAGACAGTAGCGAAAGATACTATCTTTTCTACTTCTGATATTTTTTTAAGTCAATGTATTAGAACTGGGGGAAATCGTAATAAGGTAATTCTTTAAAGTCTTGTCGCATTTATCTTTTTAAGTTGTAGGATTAATAATACTAACCTCAACAACAGCATCATTACTAGAATACTGTGCCAGGTCTCTAATTCCATTCATGAACTGTTTATTTGCAACGCAAAAGGCTTTTCCAGTATCGATCATCACAATGCAAAGCTTCACAAGCTGAAAAAGATAATAAAACATGGCATCAGGCTGAACAAATGTTGATAGTAACCACAGGCGCTAACACAGTTAAGATTAAGTCCAGTTCAGCAATAAACCCAAAACAGACTAAGTAACAATTGTTCTATTTTCCTTGTGTTTATGAAGTGAAATCAGAACGGTAACAAAGTTCACAAAACAGAGCATTGAGGTTTATATGATAACAAAAACAAACAACAATTCCCTATGTCAATTCAAGTCAACCCCATAAATGAACCATAAATATTTATTAGTCATATACTGGAAGGAAGAAAACAGGACTTGAGGCAGAACAAGCAATCTAATGCAAAGTGTTTTTAAACTGTGAGGTCTGCTGGAGGGAAGGGACGACTGACCGAGAACAGCACATCAGTCATGCTGGTCACCTCCACATCCATCTATCCAAAGCAGATCCTCAACTGAGGCAAAACCTATTTCTCCAGGGCTCTGTGCTCAGTCTTTTCCATGCCCTCCCCTTTCTTCCCGTCTCTCTTCTCTTCTTTTATTTCACTTTCTTTTTCTTCCTCCTTTCTCATAGACATAAAACATTTTATTCAAAAGTTTTTGGGTGAAGGTCAAACATACACAAAATAGGTCAACGTAAAAAAAGATGAGGATAGGGAAAGGTTGGCAAGGAAGACCCCAAAAAGAAGACAAAGAGGCCAGAGAAATAGAGAAAACTATGAAGGATCTTCAGTATAATATATAGCTGTTAATAAAATACAGCTAATATTACATTATACTATTAATATGAGCAAAGTTTATAGCTGCTGGGGCCTAGCCACAACCTATTTGTTGTCAAGTTGAAACCAACACATGGCTGACCCTCCTGGGGGATTTTAGAGACTGTCAATCACACAGGACATGGTCCATCTATCTTCCATGGAGCAGCTGGTGGATTCAAACCATGTGTCTTTGGGTTAACAACGCAACTCCCTAAACACTAGGCCACCAGAGCTTTCTCTAAAGATCTAGAGAGAAAAGCCTAAATCTTCAATCAAAGATGTTTTATTCTAGCCAGCAGGAAAGCAGACAAATTCTGCACAGCACAAACACAACAGTTAGGGCAGATTATATGTAAGAGAACTGAGGAAGTGCATCAAAACAGGTTCAATGGAGTCAGCAGAGGATGCGGGGAAAAGAACACTTGAGATAAGACTAAAGGCCAAACATAAAGGTAGATACATAGGTAGGACCATTTTGCACCAAGGGAACATTTAATTGTGCTAATGCGAAACCTATACTTGGACCAAGAGGCAGTAGTCA